TTTGTGGCACACAGCACGTGGAAGTGTCTCGCCGCCAGCCAGGTCCGAGTTCACGCCAGTGGTGTGGGCAGATTGTGTCTAAGCTCTGCGTCTCGTCCTCGCGGAAAACACCCACTCTACCAAGTATAATTTCACTTTCCGTTTTCACTCCAGAAAATGACCAGTGAGAACAATGATTCGAAATCTTCTTTGAACAATTGCGTAAAGTAAGAATTTTAAAGCTCTTGCTTTTATCTAACCTATCAAACGAGCAGTCTTTTCCAGTTATTCTCTGAAAGGAGCATGAGAACGCCATTGCTGAGTTGCATACCGTGCGACAGGCCGTTGGAAAAATTCCCTATAATTTAATTGGGATCACAGCCTGTTTATGATTAGCAACCATAAGAACAATGATAAATAGTTCATTTCAAGGCTTTTAGATCAACAATTGCGTAGCCCCTAGTGATCAGTGATGAAATCTTGATTCTCTAAACCATAAATTATCTCCAGCTGGCGGCTGCTTTAAAAGTATAAATGGTATCAATTAATTAACTCTTGTACCGGTAAAGCAGCATCATTCACCTGAAAAAATACTGTAAATGTGCTGCATAATTATGCACTGTTCACATAAAAATATTATACAAGTTAGTGATAAAACAAGCAGTCCATTAGCTGCTGTATTTTCTCAAAAAATTAAAAAAAAAAAAAAAAAAGCTCCGCAACAACAAGAAGATATATTTTAACCGAGTTTTTAACTTTGGGCTGGAAAGAGAGAGCTGTTTGTCACGGTCTGTCACGTAATCTCTTGTTAGATTTCCCGAAAAATTGCAATTTTGAGTACACTTTCACCTAGCACAACCTAAATTCCCCAGAAAAAAAAGTTATATCAGCTAACATCCCATCTCTTCTGCATTCTTAATAAAGATTTTCATTTGATTTGTGATAAAGGTAGTAGGGTAAATTCTTTTTTGAAGTTTTCTAGTTATTTCCATGGAAAACAGAGGGCTTCCTTTCAGGTCTCAGTCAATACCTTATTGTTTTTCAAATGTCATAGGAATTATAATATGAAACCTGCAAACATTACAAAATAAGCTGATTGCAACTGGATGTCTTCTGTATTTAAAGTTACGGCAAGCCGTCAGCTTCAAGATGGCTAATTTTTAGCCTAATTTTTCAATACTTGGCCCTGAAATCGGGTATCGTCATTTTCTGCCGAAAGAAAACACCATTTGGCAAATGGACCCAATAGCGATAAATAGTTCAATATGGACTACTAATAGCCAAAGTTTGGGCGATTCTGAAATTTTAAAATTTGCTGCTCAATTTTTGATTTTTGTGGACACGCACTCCTAAGCGGTAGTGAAATGAGGCCTGAAATAAATTCAGGCCCGTACGGGATTCGAATCCATGATCTCTGCGATACAGATGCAGTGCTCTATCACCTAAGCTCACAAGCCAACTGGGCCGGGTGATCATTATTTTGGTTCATAATAAACCCGTCGACAATTGATGAATCAACGTTTCTGAAAATATGAAAGTCATATATTTGAACTGCGATTAAAGAACGGGTATGAGAATGCTCTTCGCAGTAACGAACACTACTGAAGCAGTAGTGAAAATGAGGGCTGTAAAAAATTATTTGGATGGGATTTTGGCTGCACAATAAGTCAAGCTTTCGCTCCTTATATGTCCTTATCTATTGTTTGAAGGAAAGGGTTTCTATTGCTCGCAAGACAAAGGTTAGTAATTACCGGCGCGTAGCCAGCTCACCGAGCGCGAAATTCAAATTTCTTCGGAAGCGATTAGTGTTACAAACGCAGCCTTTGTGGGTGAGGGTGTAGTAATGATTGTCGCAGCCTAGACACATCTAAAGGGGGTGGGGTGGGGAGGTTTGTGACAAGAAGAGCGAGGTCTGGACGATAAGTAAGCGAAAACTTACGCATAATAGCTTTGATATGACGTCTCTGAATGTTGATTAAAACTTTTCGAACACACGAGAACCATTCCAACTGCAGCTTCTTCCCTAATTCAAACTCTCCTAGGCTAAATACAACTTCTACAAGTCATCTGATCTTTTCGGGCCCATTGAGCAGGCTAAGACAAGCGAAAACGGCTATTTAGACGAGAATGTTTCTGGCCACGATACTTGTCTTCCTAGTGGACCGCTGCACCCAACGAATGTTATTTTTTTTGCCGCTTTTTTAGAGTAATGTTGTGAGTTTGTTTCAAACCAATCACGTAGTACGTTGAAATGCACCTGACTTTACGTATTACGTGATGTTCATTCAAAAACGTTACTCTAGAGCTAGTCTAGTCGCAGTCTACTAGGAAGAGTAGCAGCACTTTCACAATCAAACTTGGAAGTTATTTGTATTTGAATAACAAACCGCTATCATGCTAAGAACTCTAACAGTGAAACAAAGTTCAAATCCTCCGCTTTTCCCTTTCGCTCATTTTCCTTAACTCCATTTTATAACGTGCAATATGATTATAAAATTTGGTGCCAACTTAAGAAACACGGAGGGCGGACAGTAAAAACTGATCCTGAAAATTACCTCTTTTTTAATTAACTGCGTACCGGCAGCTTAGAGTATTCAACCATAGTTGATCATAGTTAACGCAATGAATATAANAGATTTTTGATCTTTGAACAAAAAGTGAAGTCAGGGCCTCAGGCGCGCACCCAGTCATGCATTTGAAAGCCAGAATTGCATTACGGTAGTACAGTTGTTGTCTTATTGGTATCCAGTGCAATTGTTTAAGAATTGGTGTAATATGGTCGTATTTCTTTTTGTCGCATAAAATACGGCCAGCGAAATTTTGTACAGCTTGGATTCTATTTAAATTATTTTCAGTAGTGTTATACCATACGTTGGAGCAATAATACAGTTTGCCAAAAACTAAGGCGTTTATCAGGATTTTTAATGTATCTTTGTTGAATGCATGCTTCACACGGTTGATTTGTCCCAGCCTGGACATGCAACTAGCAACTGTTGACTTCACATGATCTCTGTATGTAAGGTTTGAGTCAAGCATCACTCCCAAGTCCTTGGCACAATCGACAGGCAGGAGCTCTTTTCCCAAAAGTGTTAGACGGAAGTCTCCAACTTTGGCTGTCATTGTTCTACTTCCAAAGATGACAAGATTGGTTTATTCGGAAATTAGTAAAAGAAAGTTCACAAATGTCCAGTTAGATATTTTACTTAGGTCATCATTAAGCTTGCAGATGGCATTTTCTGTACTGTCAAGGCTGAACATCAAGAGTAGTTTAGTATCATCCACATAGCATTGAGTACTACAAGATGTGGCAATACTTGGAGGGTCGTTAATATAAATATTGAAAAGAAGTGGACCCAGAGTACTCCGCTGGGGCACGAGTCAATCCTTACGGTTTCGTATCGAGGAGACAGATAGCTGTTGAACCACTTAATGGCTTGGGCCAAAAGCCCAACGTCCTGTAGCTATGCCATAAGAACACTGTGGTTGATGGAATCAAAGGCTTTACTGAAATCGAGTAGAACAATTGCAGAAAGTCTCTTTCTGTCAATACCTTCCATTATGGAATCAGTTGTAAGGATAACAGAAGTTTCAGTTGAGTCCCATTTCGTATTCCCCATTTGTTTAGAGCTCAGTCGTTGATTAATCGACAAATATGAGTTGAGTTGGTAATGGGCGACCCTCTCGCAAACTTTAGATAGCATTGGCAAAAGCGAGATAGGCCGATTATTACTTGGAATTTCTGGGTCACCTTCCTTTAAAATAGGAACAACTTTAGCTTTTTTCCAGTGGATCGTAAACTGAGATGATTTGAATGTGGCATTAACAACTGAAGTGACTGATGGCAGTATAAATGGTAGGCAATCTTTGATAACATACATGTGAATTTTGTCGATTCCAGGAGCTCTATTTGATGACATAGAGGAAATAACACGTTCCACTTGATCACAACTCACACAATCGTCAAATGAAAATTGTTCTAACTCCAGATATTCTTTAGGGACAAAGACGTTGAATTGCTCTGCCATTGAATTGACTTTCTCGGCTGTGTTCTTGCCCACGGATGCAAGAAAATTTTTGAATTCATTAGCAACAACTTCGCTGTCCTTTGAAAAAGTCATCTTTGATTGAGATTTTGGAGCAACTTCAGAATACCCGTCCACATCATTTACATATGTCGGGAGGCTTTGAAAACTGAGGTATAACACAATAGACGCTATTCTTATTCAATGACATGTAAATGATATGGGCGGGTATTCTGAGGTTTAGTCGAGAGTTTTTTGGAATACAACTACGAATTGCCTTCCACATGGTGTTACTATTATTCTTGTTGTCTTGAATTTGCTGTGAAACGAACTCGGATTTCTGGCAAGAGTACCATATAACCCCATACATTAATTATGTATTCAGTCTTTGTTCAATTAAAACAATAGCGATAACAATAGAACTCCGAAGAGACTAGTAGTCTTTTGTTCGCTTGAATTCACGTTACCAGCTATCTCTAGTAGCCATAAGCTGGCGGATTTCGTCTGTAATGTAAGGGTTTGGCTTCCCCTTTATGCGAAAGGTTTTCACAGGCGCGTGTTCATCCAACATTTGATTAAACAAAGAGTTAAAGATGTACTATTTATCATCTGAATCGTCAAAAATATCCACAACTAACCATGGTGCAAAACTAACTTCTTTTGAAAATTTTTCTTTAGAATATTCTTTAAAGCTCCTCTTCGTGACGAATGCTGCTGATTTACGTTCCCTTTTTAATCTCAGAGTAACGTAAGCAAGGTCGTGGTCGCTTATCGAAGAGCGAAGTACGCTCGATTTAATAACATGCTTGGAGTTTGAGGCCATGATAACTTCAATCAGGGACATTGTTGGCTCTATAGTGCGAGTTGCACTTGAGATGAGTTGTTCCAGGTTGTAGGTGGAACAGAAGCTTGTTAATGCCTGAGATTCGGGCAGATCAGGTTGTAATACAGTACAGTTTATATCTCTAAGAATGTAAACTGGCTTGTTTAACAACAAGCGGAGATCAAACTTGTACCCAAATCGGCTTCAACGTATGCTACCGGGGAACTTTGTGAAACAGTGAAACAAGGCTCTATCCCTCCTCTTTTTCCCCTTCCCTCGATTTCGTTAACGCCATTTATAACCTGCCATGCGATTATAAAAGTTAAACATGACCTGTTGTAGTTACACCCTGTCAACGTTTATAAATAAAGGGAGGCGGCAAGCGGGCAGATTAATTAAGGGTATTCTTCTAAAGTTCAACAATGGCATAAAAAGGCTCGCGAACCTAATCCGGAGTCAGAAATCGCTTTCTACAGCTTGCCACTGGGCGTAAAGCTAACACTGTGAGTAAGATTTACGAAGTCTTCAAAGTATTTGACAAGCGCACATAACCTACACTTAACTCCTGAGAAGAATACATCCAATTCGCGGACCTATTGTTCTAACGCCTCCCATACCACACTGTAGCCCCTCACAGTGACACTAGCTCATTAGTATAGTGACACCTTTCTCCCTTTTTTCAGCCCTCGCGGAATATTTTATCTCATCTGTTCTAGATGATGCCGTTGAGCGGCGAAAGCTCGGACTTCTACGATACAGTAGTTACAATATTTGACAGTAATTCAAGGCCGCATTAGTGTTCTTATTGTTCTCATTTTAAAGACGACTTTAGCATTGCAAAGTGTAAGGTTAAAAGCTCATTGTTTGTGATTTAGTGGTTTTCTTAATTTGTGGGTAGAAGAATTTTTTTAACGTGATGAGCACATTGTTTTCCACGTTGTAGTCTGTCGCTTTGCGCGCTAAACGAAGGATAAATATGTTCTTTCAAACTATCTGGGCCCTGCCCGAAAAGTGACATCACTCAAACGTAAGAAGGTGGGAAATCACTCTTTCTTTGTTCCTGAGGCTTGACAACAACAGCACTGTTTCTTTTACATTCCTTGCGTCAGTGGTTGAAAAAAGAACGCACGCAGTTTTCTTTCCTTTTTTTTTTCAGGATCAGGTTTTTTTTCGG